CCTTCTTAAATTCTGAGATAGGGTCTTACTAAATTGCCCAGACTGGCCTCAAATTTGTGATCCCCCTGCCTCAGCCACATATCCGGCTTGGTTCCCTAACTTTCAGCAGCAATTACTATTGGACCTTAAAAATCTTCCCATGGGATCATGAATATGAGTGGACCTTGAATATTGCCCAGCTCTATGGAGTATTGTGACCACAACAAAAATCTAGCCCTTGTGTGGCTGACTCTCAGTTTAGCCCCAAAAATGTTACTGAGTACCTGCCTTGAGTCCTATGCCAACAACTAGGGATACAATGAGCAAGACATGATCCTTTCCTGTATGACCTTAGCTTTGATCTCAACCTTGGTGAGATTGTTTGTTTGTTTTTGAGACAGGGTCTCACTATGTTGAGACTGACCTGGAACTCACTATGTAGCCCAGGCTGGTCTCCAACTCACAGCGATCCTCCTGCCTCATCCTCCCGAGTGCTGGGATTACAGGTGTGTACTACCACACCCAGCTAATTTCTAAAACTCCACACCCTAAGTGCTTGGCAAGACTATTACTATCCCTGGAAGTGATACCACCATATCAGGCTCAAGACACCCTACGCCTAGAATAATACTGTCAAGCTCTGCCTGGGCTATTAAGCCCAATTGTGGACTCCACCGAGTTGTCCTTATCTGACTAGTCATAGAAAACAGGTTTCTGTCCTTTTTAAAATGCTTGGCAATCTACATGCCCACTGGTTAGATCTAGGGTTTAAAGATGCCATGCAGGAAATAAAGAACAATGACGTTCCCCATGCAGTGGTGGCATTAGAGCTTCCATGTGTTCCTAAAAGGGGACAGGCATGGAGGGAGGAAGAACACATTCAGGAATGGATGTGCTCAATGTGAGCCTAACTCCTGGCGGGAAGCATCAGAACCACAGGATTCATCTATTCCAGCTCCAGGCTCCTCTCCCCACGTAATGAGTTTTGTTTGCCACAGGGACGTGTTGTGTTGTGCAAGAGTTAAATACGCCCATTCCCACCTTCCTCTTATCTCCAAGGAATATAGCACCTACATCTTTAAATTGAACCAATCCAAGTTCTCCAAGCTCAGCTATGCAGCAATAAGCAGCCTCCACCTGGAGAAAGAGTTGGGACAAACACATCTCCTCACTGCGAAACACAGACACCATCTTGGCCCAGCCTTGGCCTGCGAGAGAGAGAGAGAGAGAGAGAGAGAGAGAGAGAGAGAGAGAGAGAGAGGGAGAGGATATTTAAGGTGATAAACATGCGAAAAGTTTAGGGTGTTTTTGTTTTTTCTTTTTCTTTCTTTCTTTTTCTTTTAGTTAAAAATTAAAATCCAGCAAGCATCACTCCTGACTTGGAGAATAGAAACAAGAACAGGATAGCATTTCCCATCTTCTGTCAGTTTGGCTGATGATTAAAAAACGGGATTAAACAGCTGGGTGTGTGGTGGCAGAGCACTTGGTGAACATATGTAAAAGACCCTGGGCTCCATCCCAGCACTTAAAAAAATTATATATATATATAAAATTTAAACACTCAAGTTGCGGAGGCTGTGAGGAAGGAGGCCCGTTCACACTTTTCTAGTCGAAGCGTAAATTCCTTAAAGCCTTTTCAGAGAGCGGCTTGGTCAGTATTTGTTGAATTTTATGTTTTTCATACTCATGACCCAAGATTGCCACTGCTATTTATCTAGACGGACCTGGGTATGTAGGGAAAACAGGTTTCCACACCAATGTTTCCTATACATCCAAGATAATAATAATTGTCATACCTGGAATAAATAAAGTGGAATTCAATAGACCCCGTGCAAGATCAGGGATGAATAGGTCTCTGTCCTGTGTGTGGAAAAAGGACGTTTTTTCAAAAGCACTGTCAGTTGGTCCAGCCACCTGCGAGTCACAGTTCTAACATTTAGTCATCCATGTGTGTTGACCACCAGCTTTCTTTTCTTTTTTTTTTTTTTTGGTGGGGGGGACAGGGATTGAACTCAGAACCTTGTGCTTTGGAGGCAGGCACGGTGCCACTGAGATAAATCCCCCAGCCCTCAACCACCAATTTTTTAAAAAATGACTAGAAAGAGACGCTCCAGAGAGGGATCACCGATATCCTTTACCCAAAAGTCTAGAATCCAAACTTCCAAAATCTGGAACTTTTTGAGGAGCAGCACAATGCCACACGTGGAGAAGTGTGGCAGAAGTGGATGATGGGTCAGCGTCACAACACAGGTGCTCTGGGAATGTGGCCCCAATCCCCTTCCGGCCATGTGCGTGAAACACAGATGAATCCATAGGCTGGAGGCCTGCACCCAAGGTGTTTCACCAGGTAGATGCACACATTGCAGAATCTGAAATCCACAACACTCATTCCCAGCTTTGCAGATAAGGGATTCTCAACCTGGGTAGCAAGACACCAGCTTGCTCTGGTCTAACAGAGGCCCGGCCACAGCCTCACCGTGGTGGAGAGAAGAGCGGCTGACACCCTGGCTCCCTAGGCCGTCCCCACCCACAGCATCTATGGTGGGCGGGCAGCGGAGCTCTGTGTGGTGGGTTGTGACTCCCAATACTTACCCACACCCAAACAGACCACCAAAGACTTAGCACCAAAGGGACTGCCTGCTTTTAGTGTCTGCAGGAACAGATGGCAGGGAAGGACACCTCCCAGAATTAGGGACAGAGCAGAAGACCCCTTTCAGTGACTAAACGGAAGCCCATGTAAGAGCAGAAGTGGGGTGGAGATGGGGCACCAGCCTTTTGTGGTCCCATTTTCTGGGAGGATCTGACCTCTGTCTTCTCCAGCCCCTCCTCTCTTCACATTGCTCTCCAGACACCTGTGCCTACCTCAGGGCCTTTGCTTATGCGTTCCCTGCATTTGGAGGCTTGGAACCTCAATCTCCTCCTCTCCATTCCCATTCCCCCAGCCCATACTGCCATCCCTCCAGCATAGTATAAGGACCGTCTTGATCCCTAAATCTTCCCTAACCACCACCTACCCCACTCAGTGACCTAAGCTGGCTTCTTTCCGCTGCCAGAATATCAACCATCGGTACTCTTGCCTAACGAACAAACGAACGTCTCTATTCCCCACATTGGAGTTAGGACTCTGGTCCACTAGCACCCAACACAGTCTGGTCCTGCATTTCCGCAGTTAGACACAGAGCCAAGTCAAGTTTTCCCACTGTCCTCTGATAAGTAAGCCCATGAACTACCGGCACAGAGACAGCTTTCTGTACACCAAAGCTCCCAGCAAAGAGAAACCTCTTACCCAAGTTTGCTCCACGCTGCTCAGGCTGTGCGTCGGCTCAGCGCTGGGCGCAGGGACCCCCACCCACCCAGCAGCTTTCAGTCTGGTGGCTGCAGCTGGGAGTGGCCAGGGCCCAGGTGACCGAGAGCTCTGTGTCTCCCGCAGCCTGCAGCCTGAGCTCCTCCGCTCCTTCTCCCCAGGCGGCTCTGTTGTATCAACAGGCTGCCCCGTGGGTGAGGAACCTGCCCCACCGGCCTACCCTGCTCAACCCCCGCCCACCTGCACCCTCTGCTCTGCAGCGACCTGGAGTCCCCAGGGGAAGCACAGCACTGTTCTCTAACGAGGGTGACCTGCCCTAGGTGAGCTGAGGGCTGGGGACAGGTTTCTAGGGGCCTCAGAAGGGTCCCACAGACAGCACTGTTGTGTATTACTAAGCGCTCCGAAACACTCGTTCAAATTGTAAGGAGGAAATGACACTACACAGCAGTTTGGGAGAAGAAAGTATCGAGCGGGCCATCCCACTAACAACTATTCTCCAATGCGCTTCCAAAGGCAAATAGACAAGTGATTATAAGTACCTAATGTCTAAAATTTAACTTCCTTTGTGGCCTGGAGAGAAAGACAGGGCTAAATGTGATGACCACCCCTTTCTTATTGAGGATTACTAGGTGTGATCAAAATATACTGTGAATATTTACATTTTTTTTTAAATTGTTACATTAAAAGACACATTGCCATTACCTCCCTCAAAATACTTGCCCTTTTTCAAACACGCTTATCTCATCCTTGCCTTCTTTCTAGAAGTCCTTTTTCCTGAGTGTCTTTACAAGGCGTGATCAAAAATACAGTGAATGCTGCTGCTGAGCGCCATCCAATGGAAACCAGGGCCAGATACGGTGCTGTGTGACTTCTGGCTCTTCTCCAACGACAAAATGACCATGAAAGGTAAATGTATTGAACCCATTCGGGACATCAGGGAAGCCACGACAGCATAACTAAAGACTAATGAAGAACTTGCAGAACTGCTGCAGAAAGTGGCAAGAATAATGGGTAAGTGTGCTTGAACCAAGGGGACTATTCTGAGGGGATTAATGGCAATGTCTTTTGCTGTGATCAATGTTTTTTTTTTTTGGTTTTTTGAGACAGGGTCTCACTATATAGTTAAGACTGACCTGATGTAGCCCAGGCTGGTCTTGAACTCACAGTGATCCTCCTGCCTCAGCCTCCCAAGTGCTGGGATGACAGGCGTGTGCCACCACACCCAGCATCAATTTTTTTAATAATTCAAGAATTCGAGGGGATGGGGATTTAGCTCAGTGGTTCTGCCATCTGCCTCACAAGTGCAAGGACCCAAGTTCGATCCCCAGTACATGTGTATGTATATATACATATACATATTTCAAGTTTTGCTGTATTTTTTTGGTCACACCACATATTCAGCAGAGACAGTGAAGGGCACAGAGTAAGCCAATCAGATGCCCTGCTCTGGGCTCAGAGGTGACCACAGAAGCCACCTACATCGACACAGTAACCTTTCTAGAGCAGTTTCTCTAGGTGAGGCTGCCAATTCCCCACTTGCATATACCTGAGGATACCTGAAAAACATACCTGAAGACTAGGGGGTGTTTTTTTACTTTTTGTTATAGAAAAAATTTTGAGACAGGGTCTTGAAGTACAGTTTAGGCTGACCTTGAACTCACTTTGTAGCCTAGGCTGGCACCCAACTCACCGTGATCCTCCTGCTTCAGCCTCTTGAGTGCTGGGATTACAGGCGTGCGCCACCACACACAGCTGTTAGGGAAAAATTTAAGCATCTGCCTGAATACAGAAAACAGGACAAGCACCCACCCCACAACTTCAACAGCTGTTCCATTTTTTAACATCTCTGCCCTCCCTCTTCAGCCTCCTCTGATCACTTTGAAGCAAATCCCATACACATTCTTATTTTTATCAAAATATATCAGCATAGATAGATCTCTAGAAGACAAGGATCCTTTCCTAGACACACAACACACACAAGCACTCACACAATCACGGACCCTTTCAAAATTCAGCAATAATTCCTCAATGTCAAATATCTCATCAGACCTGCAGTTATTTATGTTGTCTGAGAGTGGCATTCTTAACGGGTCCCCCTGGGCGGTTCTAGTGCATGATCGACTTGGCACTGCTCATTCTGCGAAGGCTGTGAAAACTGGAACTTTACTTTGGGAGGCGCCGGGGGCACCCATGCAATCTGGGAAAGGTCATCTGAGGTGCGGAGTCCAGCTGGAGTGAGGCAAGGCTCTGAAGGCACAGCTAGTCTACTCCGAGGACCCCCACCTGTCCTGCCAGGGCAGATCTGCCCCAGTGCGACTCATCCCAACAAAGTCCCAGAGCTGAACTCAGGATTTGCAGCACAGCACAGGATGACAGCTGAAAACCTCGGGGGGGCTTATCAGCTGATGCCGCCTGTTGCCCCCTGCCCCGGACCAGCTGGTGCCACCCTGTCTGCTCCATCCCCACCCACCTCTCTGCTGCTTCTACACTGGGTGCAGCAGGATCTCCAAATGCCTCCTTGCCCAGTAGCACTGAGGAAGCACAGGGGCAAAAGGTCATCTTCCTGGTCAGTGAAGAGCCACAGCCATAGTGGAAACTGCCACTTACTGTGCAGCCTGTAGGAGAGCGGTGTGCAGGGGCCATAGGATAACTGATACTCGCTTAGTCAAAGCGCAGGAGGGAGGGCATCTTAAGGTGCAATATGTATGGTATCAGTTTTCCAAGATGAATATAATTACTATGTGTTACAAAATACACTAATCTTAAAAAAAAAAACTACAATAAAAAAGTTACAGCAAGAAAAATTTGTTTGTGCCCCTTTTCCTCCTAAAGCCCCAAGTTAAAATTGCAGGAGACCAGCACACTCAGTCTGGTAGGACTACAAACTAGCACGACCCGTCTGAAAGGCAAGATGCACATCCTTTGGCCCCCAGAATAAAAAAAGACTCGGCATGGTGGTGCACACCTGTAGACGGTGTCTGGGGAGAAAGATGAGGCTAATGTGATGGTCCCCTTTTCTTATTAAGGACTACTGATTTATCTATGGACTAGGTGTGATCAAAATATACCATGAATGTTTGAATTTTTTAGAAATCTGTTGCAGTAAAAGACACATTTCTGGGAGGCTGAGGCAGGCCAGTCTGGGCAATTTATCAACCTAGGGAAACCCTGTCAGAGAGAAAAAGGAGAGAGTGAAGGGGCAGCGGGATAAAGAGAAAGAGAGGGGAGGGGAAGAAAGGAAAGGAAAAAATTTAAAGATGAAAGCCAAAATTTAACCAGAGTGATAACTACTGTAATAAGCATGCAATGTCAACATGGCTTACATCTTTCATTTGATCCCTCGGCTACCATGTGTATGTTCTGCCCTGGATACCCAGACTAGGGAGGCAAATGAGAAAAGCGGCCCTGCTCCTTGTGAAGCCAAGGTCCAGCGAACCAGCCATCAACCAGCAGGGCACTGCAGATTCCGAAAGGGGCACAAGCAGAACGGCAGGCATCAGAGAAACGGCTCAGGCTGGCAGGGTGAAGTGTGCAGGGCAAGCTTCCCCAGCAGGTCGTGCTTTGGGGGGCACCTGGGAGTGCCAGGAGCTGGTGTGGGGAAAGAAGGCGAGGAGAGGCCACTCCGGGAGTCGGGACAGAGCAAGGTGCCAGCCCACCACAGAGCTAATAGATCTAGAAGCACTTGCTCTGTGCCAGTATTGCTCTCAGAGACAGTGTCACACAGTTCCGTGGGTTCCAAGTGTTAAACCTCCTCACCTCAAACACCGTGTGGGGAGATGGATGATGCTCATGGGCTTCTGTGACAAATAAAGGAGGCAGAGGCACTCAGTCCTGCAGTTGCTTACAACAGGTCCTTTGACACCAGAGTCCTTGCTCACAACCGTCCCATAATGTTGTCTCTACGTGGGGTCTCGGTCACTTTCCTTGTCACTGGGACAAAATCCTGATACCCACAACTCAAAGGGGGAGAAGTTTACTTGGGCTCATGATTTTAGTCCCCAGTCACCTGGCTCCCAAGCATGATGGGATGGCATGGCACAGGGGCCTGGCAAAGGAAGGCTGCTCACTTCCTGGTGGCCCAAAAGCAGAGAGGGAGACAAGGGAAGAGCTGGGAAGGGAGATATAGCCTCCAGGTCATGACCCCAGTGACGACCTCTTCCCACAAGGCCCCATCAAATAGCATGTCACTTATAATACCTCATAATCCAGCCACCTTCCAACACGGGGCTTCCAGAGCCACTCTAGATCTAGGCCAGCACATTTGGCAAGGCTTGGGATATTTAAGAAGCAGCAAGGTGGCCGGTGTGACCGCAGTGTGGAGAGGGCTGGCTGGAATGTATGTGAGGTGCATCCAGTGGCGGGCGTTGGCCAAGCCATGTGAAGTCTAAATTCACATTTAAAAATTTAGGTTTTATTCTAACAGCATTAGGAAGCCCTTGAAATTAAGCATTTTTAATACCCACTTCACATTTGTGGGCGGGGGGGTGAAACAGGGTCTCACTATGTAGTTGAGACTGACCTGGAACTCACTATGTAGCCCAGGCTGGTCTCAAACTCACAGTGATTCTCCTGCCTCAGCCTCCAGAGTGCTGGGATTACAGGGGTGTGCCACCACTCCCAGCTCCCAGTTCACAATTTTTAAAATCTATCATTCTGGTTCTGCTTTTGGAAAGATGAAATAGAATTACTTTCTCCTCCTAACAAGTAAAATGTAAAAGCCTGGACAGCTAGGCATGGTGGCAAATGCCTGTGATTCTAGCCACTCAGAAGGCTGAGGCAGGAAGATCACAAATGCATGGCCAGCCTGGGCAACTTAGCAAGACTTTGTTGCAAGAAATAAAAAGGGTAGGGGATGTAGCTCAGTGATGGAGCACCCCTGGGTTTGACCCCTAGTACCACAAAACAAAAAACAAAACAGGACATTATATATATATATAGCAAACATAAAAAGACTAGAAGATAGAAGATGACAGACTCTCTAGGGATCCAAGGAATGACACAGAGGGAAGTCCACAAAACCCCTCTGTTTGCCTCGTATATTCCAGATCAGTGCTACAGAAGCTCGTATGTGTGTTGACCAAAAAGCCCCAAAGAAAGATGCCCTCTCTAGTCAAGGAAAAGGAAAGAGGCAGCCTAGCAAGAAAGAAAGCATCCAGAAATCATTCTGCTAAGAGAGTCAAACATCACAGAAAAACCCATGGCCCTGCGCCCCCACCCCATGCCAATAAGGCCCATGGGGAGTCAAGTGTTCACCCCCACCCAGCTGTGACAAATCACAAACATCAGTGCCTGCGCTCCCACCCCACTGTCTGGTAATGAGGGCCCCTGCTCCCTTGTTGAGGGTCTCAGACAGGGCCAATCACAACTTTCACCCTACCCCATGGGGACGAGCCACCTCGTCATGCAGGGTAAAGTCCCACAGAGAGCAGTAATGGGCCATCCTGCCCCTCCCAGCCTAGGCTGCAGGCAAGGGTGAGCAGAGAAACCATGCTCAACTTCAAGACTGGCTGTAAGCCGGACGCGCGGATGAGCGGGAGAGAGCAGAGAACCCAGAAGTAGGCTTCTACCCAAGTCCAGCCAACTGGTTGTTGATCACAGAAGAGAATGGAAGGAGAGTCTTCCCAGGAATTGGTGAGGGAGCAATTAGCTATCTACTGGTAAAAACTGAACTGTGATCTGAACCTCACAGTTTACACAAAAATTAATTCAAGGGCTTGAGCACGTAAGTCGGTGGAAGAGCACTTGCCCAGCTGCAGGAGGCTCTGGGTTTAATCCCCAGTGCTGCAAAAATAAATAAATAAATAAAAATGGATCACAGGTCCATTTTAAATGTAACACTGCAGAACTTTTAGAAAAATACAGTAGAACATTTCAGAACAGAAAGCCTGCTAAAGAGCTCTTAGGTGTGACACATAAAACACAAGCCATTAAAGAATAAGTGAATTCATAGTTGGAGTATAGCTCAGTGCAAGAACTCTTACCTAGCAAGAGTGAGGCCCTGGCTTTGGTCCAAAGCACCAAAAAAATAAGAAAAATATTTGATAAAAAACCTTGGGCTTGGGAGGTAGCTCAGTGCAAGAGCACATTTCTGTCAGGCTTGAGGCCCTGGGGTTCAAACACCAATCCTGGAAAAAAATTATTTTAGTCAGACACAACGGTGCACACATGTAATTCTAGCTACTTAGGAGGCTGAGGCAGGAGGATCACAAGTTCAAGGCCAGGCAAGACGGTTTGGTGAGATGGTGTCTCAAAATAAAAAAGTGGGAGGGATGTAACTCAGTGGTAGAGCACTTGCTTAGTGTGCAGGAGTCCCGGGGTTCAATTCCTAGTACTTAAAAAGAATTTTTTTGTGCAAAGACCATGTAGCTCAGTACAAAAACCCTGAGTTCAATCCCTAGTACCACACATCCATGCACACACAAAGAAGGATGAGAAGACAAGTTAAAGACTGGGGGGAATAAAAAACAGTTGTAAGCCACATATCTGACAAAGGACTTATAGCTAGAATTTACAGAATCCTTGAACTTCACCAATAATTCCAAACAATTCAATTAGAAAATGGGCCAAGACAGAGACATTTACTCAAGAGGATACATAGTTGGCAGATCTATTAGAGTTCTCTAGAGACACAGAACCAACAGGATGTATGTATGTGTACACACACACACACACATACACACACA